GAGCGTTTGAATTATGCACAAAGATTCTGCCGGCTTATGCATTTGAAATGTTTGGAGATGGGGCAGTTACACTCCAAATTATTATTATTATTATTATTATTATTATTATTAACACAAGGTCACGCAGGAAATAATAACAGCGTAAACAGAGCACAGCTGAAACAGAAAGGTTTTCCCCACCCCAAAGGCTGCAAGAGCCCACACAGCTCCCTCCAGATATTGTTAGATTACAACTGTCATCACTACCCTGACCACTAGGCATCACTGCCAAGACGGGTGCTATCGTTAGGCAGTCATCTAGGGTGCAGACGTCAGAGGGGCGCAGTTTTACATGGATTAATTCTTGTTGCAACTTATAAATTTCTGGTGAAATTTCACTTTTATGTTTTGAAGAATTTTAGCATTTTAAAAAAATGTAGTTCACATACTAGAATTGTTTTTAAAATTTATATATGAACAGGGCCGGATTTAGGTTCGATGAGGCCCTCAGCTACTGAAGGTAATGGGTCCAGCTGTCCTTTGCCAACAACAGCAAATTGCCGCTGTATTTTTGTGTTCAATATATGCTATATGGTAATTGATGGACCGTATAGGTATCTAAAGCCATTTGCACATCACAAAATATGTATTTTATCAAAGTACCATATTTTTCGCTCTATAAGACGCAACAGACCACAAGACGCACCTAGTTTTTGGAGGAGGAAAACAAGAAAGAAAATATTCTGAATCTCAGAAGCCAGAACAGCAAGAGGGATCGCTGCACAGTGAAAGCAGCAATCCCTCTTGCTGTTCTGGCTTCTGGGATAGCTGCGCAGCCTGCATTCGCTCCATAAGATGCACACACATTTCCCCTTACTTTGTAGGAGGGGAAAAGTGAGTCTTATAAAGCAAAAAATACGGTATTTGTTGAACTGAAATACAATTAAGAAGAAGTATATTAACAGTGAAATACTATTAAGAAGTATATTTTTGGGGGGCCCCCAAGAGAGTGGGGCCCTAAGCTATAGCTTGTTTAGCTTATACGTAAATCCGGCACTGTATAAATCGTAGAGTTGATCGGAGGTTACACACACACAGAAAGTGAAAACGCACTTAATTTTAAATCTTTATAAAAAGGTAAAGGGACCCCTGACCATTAGGTCCAGTCGTGGCTTGGTTATATATATTTTCTTTTTCTGTTGTATTTTCTTTTGTTGTAAATATGCACCGGTATGTTTTCTAATTTGTACTTAATAAAAATTATTTTTTAAAAAAGAGAGGAAAGGTTAGACTTTGGTACCTCTGTGATCCGTGTCGAGAAGACCTCGGTCATCCTTGGCGAGGAGCTGGGCTTGAGCGCCCAGCACTCCAGACAACGCCAGCAGGCCGGACGCACTGCCCAGGGTAGCCAGACTGGCCGGTTGCATGCCGGACGGGTGAGGGGTCAGTGGGATAGGAGGCGCGTGGTGCGAAAGGTGCTGAGCTTGGAGTTGATGCTGCGAGGAGACAGAAGGGGGTTTATAGAAGAGAGGGGGGGAACCAAATGTGGAATCACAGGACCATAGCTGTCAACTTACAGATTTGAAAATAAGGGGCCAGCAGCCTCGAAAATAAGGGATCAGCAGCCAAAATAAGGGATTTTCCAAGCACAGGTAGGTTCGACTTCTGAGCCCCCCACAAGCCAAAGGCAGAAAGCCCAGCCAGCAGCCAAACGAAGCCTCAAGCGGTGGTTCCCACAGCGCAGCAACCCGGCAAAGGGGATGCAGCAAGGAAAACCACCGTCACCTCTCCGCTGGGAAGCGCTGAGCAAAGGCGAGTCCCCAGGCAAGGCGGCCGATCTGATCGGCACAAGGCATGCAAGCTCCACCCCCCAGTCGTTCTTAGACTCCTTATTGGGTGAGCAACGCAGCCAAGCAACACAGTTGGAGCCTCCCTCCTCCCTGGCCGGCAGGGAGGGAGGGAGAGGAGCTGCTTCCTTTGAAACCCGGGAAATTTAAGGGACATCATCAATAAGGGACAGCAGCGGGACACGGCGCTGGGATAAGGGACTTTCCCGCCAAATAAGGGACGCTTGACAGCTATGCACAGGACCGGAGAGCTGGAAGGGACCCCAGCGGTCATCTAGACCAACCCCCTGAAAAGAAGGAATCTCAGCGAAAGCATCCATGAGCGACGGCCGTCCAACCTCTGCTTAAAAACCTCCAAGGTAGGAGAGTCCACCACTTCTAGTGGGAGTCTGTTCCGCTGTCAAACAACTCTTACAATTGAGAAAGTTCTTTTTTGGGGGGGGGCCAATAATATTTATTGATTTTCGTACAAACACATTACTTCAATATAACAAAAGTAAAATAAGAAAAGTTAATAAAAATAAAAGAAGAAAGAAAAAAGAAAAAAGTGAAATAAGACAAACAAACCAAGTAATAACCAAGAATATAACCACATGCACATATACAGTAAAAAAGTTAATTAATTAAACCTCCAGTTTCATAAACATTTTGCTTGGCTTCCTCTAATCTCTTCCAACTGAATTTCCTTGTAACTAAATGTAGCAGTTTTCCAATATCATTGTTAAAAAAACAATATTCCAATTATAATCAAATTTCTTAACTTTTCTTATGGTTCTATTTCTCATTTATTTATCTAATCCTAATTTAATCCTAGGCCTGTTTAGTTCTTTCAAGTAATTACAAATCTTTAATATTTATTCAAATCATCTTTGAATTTCTTCCAGTCTTCTTGATATTCCTCTTCCTTCTGGTCGCGGATTCTCCCGGTGAGATCAGCCAGCTCCATAAAGTCCATGATCTTCATCTGCCATTCTTCTACAGATGGTAATTCTTGCATTTTCCATTTTTGGGCTATTAAAATCCGTGCAGAAAGTTCTTCCTGACGTTTTGTCAGAATCTCCTTTCTCCGGAAGAGGAGAAACGCTCACTCCTTCTTCCCTTAAGATATCTGAAGATAGCACTCGTCTCGGTATCCTCTTTCCCAAGTTAAACATACCCAGCTCCTTCAACCGTTCCTCATCAGGCTCGGTTTCCAAGCCATTGATCATCCTGGCCTCCCTCCTCTGAACACATTCCAGCTTGTCAACATCCTTCTTAAATTGTGGCGCCCAAAACCGAACGCGGGACTCCAGGTGGGGGGCTGACATAAGGCAGAATAGAGTGGGACGATCGCTTCACTCTCTTGGGTGAAAAGCAATGACAAACCTACATAGCATCTTAAAAAGCAGAGACATCACCTTGCCAGCAAAGGTCCATATAGTTCAAACTATGGTTTTCCCAGTAGTGATGTATGGAAGTGAGAGCTGGACCATAAAGAAGGCTGATCGCCAAAGAATGGATGCTTTTGAAAAATGATATTTATTAAAATTTCAAAAACAAAAAATTACATAGTTAAACAGGAAAAAAAACAAGGGAAAAAAATAAAAAAGCAAAAAACATACAAAATACAAAGTGCAGAAAAAACAAAGATAAAAAAACACTTAAAAACAAATCAATCCTTCCGTATCTTACATTTCATTTCCTTACTTCCCTGACCTCCTCTCACCTCCCTTTTTTGTATTCCAGTTCAATTGGTTAATTCAGCAATTCCTTTCCCTCTTTATTTTTGTCTTAGTCCTTTAAATTAATATATTATAACTTTAGATTCTCACTTATTAGCAATCCATTTTTACATACACCTTTAAGGCATTGCAGCTAAAACCACTTAACTTCATTCTGACATCATTCTAACATTCATTAATTTTGCAATATTTCTGTAAATAGTCTTTAAATTTCTTCCAATCTTCTTCCACCGACTCTTCTCCCTGGTCTCGGATTCTGCCAGTCATTTCCGCCAGAATGGATGCTTTTGAATTCTGGTGCTGGAGGAGACTTGTGAGAGTCCCATGGACTGCAAGAAGATCAAACCGATCCATTCGGAAGGAAATCAGCCCTGAGTGCTCACTGGAAGGACAGATCCTGAAGCTGAGGCTCCAAGACTTTGGCCACCTCATGAGAAGAGAATACTCCCTGGAAAAGACCCTGATGGTGGGAAAGATGGAGGGCGCAAGGAGAAGGGGACGACAGAGGACGAGATGGCGGGACAGTGTTCTCGAAGCTACCAGCATGAGTTTGACCAAACTGCGGGAGGCAGTGGAAGACAGGAGTGCCTGGCGTGCTCTGGTCCAGGGGGTCACAAAGAGGCGGACACGACTAAACAACAATCGCTTCCCTCGATTCGGGAGACACGAAGGATTCTGGGTGAACCAGAGCGGGGAAAGGAACAGGGAGGGTAGAGGAAAACGTTGCTATCACACAGTGCAAAGGCAAAGCACACAGACTGGACAGCGTCCTTCTCTGCTTAGTATTCAGAGTATACCAGAGTTATTCTTAAAATAAAATCGTGGAAAAGAGGGTTGTTTGTTTTTTGAAAGGGGTGTCTGTTTGAGTGGCTGGGGCCACTCAAATAATAAAATCATTATAATTTTTCTTCGATGCGTTGAAAGACAGTGAGAGAATGGAAACAGCTCTGAGCTGCAGTGGCAGAAAGGGAAACTGCAGAAATCCCGAGCGGGGAATTGGTTTGCGGTAACGTGGTTAACCTGTGAGGGAGCCGTTCCTATTGGTTTCTCTTTTTTTATAAAAAAAAGTGTTTTCTTTCCTTCATAACAGAACGAACGGGCCATATTTAATTTAAAAGGCTCGAGAAAAGGAAGGCTGACCCAGTTTCTGGAGCACGGATGGTGGTTGTTTTTTTACAAGGAGGGAGTTAAGAAACGAAGGAGATGAGCAATCTCTCCTCTCCACACCCCCTCCTCCTGGGAGGCAGTGTGGCTTAGTGGTTAGAGCGCCGGATATGACCTGGGAGACCCGGGGTTCAAATCCTTACTCGGCTATGAAGCTCGCGGCCTCGGCATGAGGCCAGTAAACCGCCTCTCAGCATAAGCCTACCTCGCTGGGTTGCTGTGGGAACTGAGTCAAAGGATTATAGAGTCGGAGGGGACCTCAAAGGTCATCCATTCCAGCCCCCTGCAATGCAGGAATCCTGCCCACAGCCAATGAGGAAGGTGAGGGGAATAATGTGCACTCCCCTTTGAGCTCCTTGGAGGGGAAAAAGTGGAGTTATAATTATAAGCTGAGTTGTTTGGCGCATGGTGCCGATAAGACCAAGGTTGCGGGTTCGAATCCCCTCATGGGGCAATTGAATATTCCTGCATTGCAGGGGGTTGGCCTAGATAATCCTGATGATGATGATTTGGGGAAAAGGTACGGCTGGCTGGCACCCTGGAAATGGTGCTTGGGGAAAGGGCATGGCTGGCTGGAACCCTGAAAATGGTGTTTGGGGAAAGGGTATGGCTGGCTGGAACCCTGAAAATGGTGTTTGGGGAAAGGGCATGGCCGGCTGGAACCCTGAAAATGGTGCTTGGGGAAAGGGATGGCTGGCTGGCACTCGGAACGCGCGAAAACCTCCCCTTGCCAAGTCCTTCTCGGCAGACACAAACCTGCCATCCTTTCCTAGAGCTCGCGGCTCCAGTTTCAGTCTTTCCGACGCTGTGCGCGATCACATGCCCCCTTTCCTCCCCGTTCCAGACGTCCCACTCAGGACTCCCCAGCCTCTTGCACTAAATCCAATTACCCACAGCCATTATCATTACTGCGTCCCTCCGGTTAGAGCCTTTTCTAATCCGCTCATTAACCGCGGCAATGGAGCAATCTGCCGTCCCTGCCAAGACACCTTTAAAAGGGCTCCCCTTTCTCCCTCCCTCTCTGTAAGATTCAGGATGGCATCCGTGCTGAGCTCTCGTGAGCGAGAAACACAAGAGACCCCGGGAGAAATCAGATTCCATTTGCATTTAAAGGCGAGCCTAGGAAGCCTAGGAAATTGCACACCGAAAGGGCAGAACCACCTCTCAAAATCTGCACCATCCCCAAATTCTGCATCGCTCGTTCGAGCAACCACATCTTGTACACACACACACACAAAGCACGCTTTAGGAGAGCGCGTTAAAACACATTTACACACGCACACCTATGTGGAATTAACGTGCAAATCAAGCATCGCGTTATGAAAACACCGGAGGGTTTTTCGATTGCTTTTCGGGAGTTGTGGCTGGGTTTTCGTTTTACAATCCAGAAGTATACGCTTGTTAACAAATAAATTTTGCTCTGGAAAACTGTATACGAAGCAGAACATGATACAAAAAAGTGTTCAGCGGTGGTGTGTGCATGTGTGTTTATATATTTCTTTACACTGTGGAAAACCTTGGTTTCCGAGCGTCTCGGAAGCCGAACGTTTTGCTTTCCGAACGCCGGAAACCTGGAAGTAATCGCTTCCGTTTTCGAACACTTTTCGGAAGTCGAACGGTTTCCGTTGTGTTTTTTTTTTTCAATTTCCCCCAATCACTTTGACGACCGCCCTTTGCGCCTCGGTTGTCGAACGTTTCGGAAGTCGACCGGTCCTCCGGCACAGATTGCGTTCGACAACAGAGGTACCACTGTGTTGACATAATCCGTAATATATCTGAAAGGCCGTTAAGTAAAGGTAAAGGGACCCCTGACCATTAGGTCCAGTCGTGGCCGACTCTGGGGTTGCGGCGCTCATCTCGCTTTACTGGCCGAGGGAGCCGGCGTACAGCTTCCGGGTCATGTGGCCAGCATGACTAAGCCGCTTCTGGTGAACCAGAGCAGCGCACGGAAACGCCATTTACCTTCCTGCCGGAGTGGTACCTATTTATCTACTTGCACTTTGACGTGCTTTTGAACTGCTAGGTTGGCAGGAGCAGGGACCGAGCAACAGGAGCTCACCCGTCGCGGGGATTCGAACCACTGAACTTCTGATCGGCAAGTCCTAGGCTCTGTGGTTTAACCCACAGCGCCACCCATTAGAAGGATGATAATAAAGACCTGTTGGACAGCCGCCTTAGGAGGTGATGCTGGAGGTATTGAAAGCAGAAGTTGGACAACTGTTTCCCAGGGATATTGCGCTTGCATCGAGCAGAGGTGTTTTGTGCTGGGGTGTGTGTGTGTGTGTGTGTTAAATATTCCAACCTGAAAAATATTTGGCCACGGGTCTCAGGCTGGTCATCGATTTGCCCAGCGCGATGGAGAAGAAAAAGGGGGGATTTCGACTGGGGAGAAAACCTTTCAGTGCATAAATAGAGAGAGCCTGTCGACGGCATTGCAAAACTTTCTATAGCAGTGATACCCCATGTGTCTGCTCCAGGTTAAGAGAACGCTGGTATGGCTAGCGTCAAGGTGACTCGTTCTCCTGGAGAGCAGAAAGGGGGGGCAGGTTTCTTAGATCGGGAGGAGCCCCCCCCCAAGCTACAAATCTCACCAGTCCTCTTAAGAACCATAAAAACTCCAGGGCAGCAGCGTCTTGGATCAGACCGTCTAGCGCAGCGTCCTTTTCCGCAAGACCCAAACGGAAGACCACTTCGTGCCCCCCCCCTCCTGAAAATGGTTTCTGGAAGCCTTCCCGGCTACAACTGCGAAAGCCCCCTGCTTGGCGAATTTGCCTAATCCTTTTTTGAAGCCGTCCCAAGTTGGCAGCCTTCGCTGCCTTGTGGCGCAGCGAGTTCCCACAGTCTAACTTTCAAGCCAAAGGAAGAAGGGGCATTATTTTCTCTGCCCTGAATCGCCCAGCGGTCAGTTCCCTCGGTCCTAGATTTTCTCTAGCCGGTGGTTTTCAGTAGGGTGCCTGGAATGACGGTCAGGGGTACCACGGGAAACACGGGCCTCTGTCCCTCTTTCCTTCCTCTGATGCCCTCTGACGTCTCTGCCCCCCAAGGCTTGCACGGCTGTTTGTTGCAGCAGCCCCGGCTGCAAGCTCCCCGTGCGAATGGTGCCTCTGGGGCTGGCCAGGGGGTGCTGGGCGCCAGGAACTGAGATGGCCTCGGAGTAAGCAAGCAAACGGGCAAGGGAGCCCAGTCCGCCAGCCCTTGCTGTTGGGAACGGGCAGGCAAGTCCCAGTCCCCTGTGAGGCAGTTTGAGGAGGCACCTCTCTTTGGGGCAGCGGGGCAGCTCAGAGACCGGGGGGGCGGCAGCGGCTGCCCAGAGGACTCCCCAGGAGAGGAGAGAGGAGAGGAGGCTGGGGAAACGCTCCACAAGGGAGGGTGTTCGAAAAGGAGTGAGGGGCTGCCATCTCTGCGGTCATAACTGGGCTCCTGAGCCTCCCATGGGTGCCACAGGAATAACATACAGTGGTACCTCGGGTTAAGTACTTAATTCGTTCCGGAGGTCCGTTCTAAACCTGAAACTGTTCTTAACCTGAAGCACCACTTTAGCTAATGGGGCCTCCCGCTGCCGCCGCACCGCCGGAGCATGATTTCTGTTCTTATCCTGAAGCAAAGTTCTTAACCTGAAGCACTATTTCTGGGTTAGTGGAGTCTGTAACCTGAAGCGTATGTAACCTGAAGCGTATATAACCTGAGGTACCACTGTAGTTGCTCAAGGGAGCCGTGGACTTGAAAAGGTTGAAAACCCCTGCTCTATTCCCCATGCATAATTTTTATAAACTACTGCAATGCGCTCTATATGCACCTTTGAAGGTGACCCGGAAACTACAACTAATCCAAAATGCGGCAGCTAGACTGGGGACTGGGAGTGGCTGCTGGGACCACATAACACCGGTCCTGAAAGACCTACATTGGCTCCCAGTACGTTTCCAGCACAATTCAAAGTGTTGGTGCTGACCTTGAAAGCCCTAAACGGCCTGAGGTCCAGTATATCTGAAGGAGCGTCTCCACCCCCATCGTTCTGCCCGGACACCTGGGTCCATCTCCTGAGGGCCTTCTGGCGGTTCCCTCGCTGCGAGAAGCCAAGTTACAGGGAACCAGGCAGAGGGCCTTCTCGGTGGTGGCGCCCGCCCTGTGGAACGCCCTCCCACCAGATGTCAAAGAGAACAACAACAACCTGACATTCAGAAGACATCTGAAGGCAGCCCTGTTCAGGGAAGTTTTTAATGTGTGACATCTTAGTGTACTTTTGGTCTCTGTGGAAGCCGCCCAGAGTGGCTGGGGAAACCCAGCCAGATGGGCGGGGTACAAATAATAAATTATTATTATTATAAAAAACTAAAAAGCTCCCCAACGCTGCAAAGGAAGCGTTCCTTTCCTGAACCGTTTTGTTTTCCCATTTTGTGGTGACGGATAAGGATGGGAGTTATAGTGTCAGCAAGACCCAGAAGCTCAAAGCCACGCAACCCCGTAGTTAAAGGGTTTGGGGTGGGGTGGGGAGGAGGGGAAGGCTTTGGGCTCCCCCAAGAGCGTGGGAGGGAAGTGGGGGTCCACATACCCCGAGTGCAACATTCACTTCTTCCATAGTCACCTGCTTCGCTCGTTCGACCGCTTGCACCACTTGTTGTTGATGCTGGAGGGAAAAAAGGAGGGGAAGGATAATTTAATGAGAGCATCAGAAAAGACAAAAGGTTGGGGGTCCAGGCTGGCGGGAGGGTGTGGGGGACTCCCCGGTTCTGAATGGGTTAACTGTGCCCCTGAAGGACCAGGTGCGCACCCTGGGAGTCATCTTGGACCCACAGCTCTCCATGGAGGCGCAGGTCAGTTCTGTGTCCAGGGCAGCTCCATCTGGGACGCAGGATGAGACCCTCCCTGCCCGCAGACTGTCTGGCCAGAGTGGTGCATGCTCTGGTTATCTCCCGCTTGGACTGCTGCCATGCGCTCTACGTGGGGCTACCTTTGAAGGTGACCTGGAAACTACAACTAATCCAGAATGCGGCAGCTAGACTGGGGACTGGGAGCGGCTGCCAGGACCACATAACACCGGTCCTGAGAGATCTGCATTGGCTCCCAGGATGTTTCTGAGCACAATTCAAAGTATTGGTGCTGATCTTGAAAGCCCTAAACGGCCCAGTAGACCTGAAGGGGCGTCTCCACCCCCATCCTTCTGCCCGGACACCGGGGTCCATCTCCCGAGGGTCTTCTGGCGGTTCCCTCCCTGCGAGAAGCGAGGTTGCAGGGAACCAGGCAGAGGGCCTTCTCGGTGGTGGCACCCTCCCTGAGGAACGCCCTTCCACCAGATGCCAAAGAAGTAAATAACTACCTGACTTTTAGAAGACATCTGAAGACCCTCCCTGCCCGCAGACTGTCTCACCAGAGTGGTGCATGCTCTGGTTATCTCCCGCTTGGACTACTGCCATGCACTCTCCGTGGGGCTACCTTGGAAGGTGACCCAGAAACTGCAATTAATCCAGAATGCGGCATGGGGACTGGGAGCAGCCACCAAGACCACGTAACACTGGTCCTGAAAGACCTATGTTGGCTCCCAGGACATTTCCAAGCACAATTCAAAGTGTTGATGCTGAGTGGGATGGAATGGAGTGCCTTCTGGAAGGGCATGGCCGGCGGGCATCCAGAGCCAAAGTACCCCATTGTTGTAAACTTCAGGTGAGTGTCTCACTTGCAACCGTCTACACATCCTGCCACTAATAATATCAGGCCCTCACATCTACAGGACGCTGAGCATCTGTCGTAGGGGAAGGAAAACTGGGAAGAGGGAATGGAGTCGATTGCAAAAGGGCATGGCTGGCATCCCAAGCCAAGAGCACCCCGTGCTGCAAAGTTCAGTTTGAAGGCTTCGCTTGTAACAATAGCAACACTAATGAATGTTCTGGCTAGCCGCCCCCTTGCATCTGTTGTAGAGGAAGAAAAAAATGGGAAGAAGGAATGGAGTCGATTGCGAAAGGGCATGGCTGGCATCCTGAGAAAGAACACCCCGCACTGCAAAGTTCAGTTTGAAGGCTTTGCTTGTAAGAATAGCAACACTAATGGCTAGCAGTTCCCTTGCATCTGTTGAAGGAGGATGGAAAACCAGGACGGAGAAGGAATGGAGTCAATGGTGAAAGGGCATGGCTGGCATATTTATCGAAGAGCATGTGTGAAGACGAGACACTCACCTCCTGGGACAAAAACGGGATGAGCTGAGCACAGATGACGTTGAGTCGCTTGGCAATCTCCGTCTGCAAAGGCAAGGAGGAGAGACAAGAGAGGAAAAGGAAGAGGGCAGGCTTAGACAGAAAACAGAGCTGGGCATCGATGCTTCTCAGCTGGAGGCAAACAGTTAAATCGGGGGCCATATAAATCCCCTTAACGGCTTGGGATCAGTTGAAACCTTCTCCCCCCATAAATTCCCATTTGGCCACTTTGATCTGTGGCAGTTTAACACCTGCTCTGAATTTGGAAGTGCCTTTGGAACTCCCTGCCACTTGACGACAAGCAGGCACCATTCTCTTTTGCGGCCCCTGCTAAAAACATTATTTCCTGAGACAAGCCTCCCCAGAGGCTCAGTTTTAATCTGTTCAACTGTTACCTTTTTTTTAACCCTTAAATTATTGCAGGTAATTTTCCCTGGTGGATAATTTTATTGTTTTCTCCATTGTTTATTTTTTGAGTGTTTTCTTTGTGGAGTATAAAAGGTAAAGGGACCTCTGACCGTTAAGTCCGGTTGCGGACGACTCTGGGGTTGCGATGCTCATCTTCCTCTATAGAAGAAGAGTTTGGATTTGATATCCCGCCTTTCACTCCCTTTAAGGAGTCTCAAAGCGGCTAACATTCTCCTTTCCCTTCCTCCCCCACAACAAACACTCTGTGAGGTGAGTGGGGCTGAGAGACTTCAGAGAAGTGTGACTGGCCCAAGGTCACCCAGCAGCTGCATGTGGAGGAGCGGAGACGCGAACCCGGTTCCCCAGATTACGAGACTACCGCTCTTAACCACTACACCACACTGGCTTCCGGGTCATGTGGCCAGCAGGACTAAGCCGCTTCTGGCAAACCAGAGCAGCGCATGGAAACGCCGTTTACCTTCCCGCCGGAGGCGTACCTACTTATCTACTTGCACTTTGACGTGCTTTTGAACTGCTAGGTTGACAGGAGCAGGGACCGAGCAACGGGAGCTCACCCCGTCGCGGGGATTCGAACCACCGACCTTCTGATCGGCAAGTCCTAGGCTCTGTGGTTTAACCCACTGCGCCACCCACGTCCCTTTTGTGGAGTATACACTTAGATAAATAAAAGAGCAACCAGCCTTGCTTCTCCCCGTTTTCCTCGCGCAACCACTAGGCGCCACTACCTTTCCGCCTGTGGCAGTGGCACCTTCATTCAGAGTAGGGACGAGGAGCCTCATGTGGCCGGCCCCCTGACGCTTTCAACTGGCCCTTGTGATCCCCCCTAGTCCGGCTGCGCTGTTGTTGTTGTTTAGTCATGTCCGCCTCTTCGTGACCCCCTGGACCAGAGCACGCCAGGCCCTCTTGTCTTCCACTGCCTCCCGCAGTTTGGTCAAACTCATGCTGGTAGCTTCGAGAACACTGTCCCGCCATCTTGTCCTCCGTCGTCCCCTTCTCCTTGTGCCCTCCATCTTTCCCAACATCAGGGTCTTTTCCAGGGAGTCTTCTCTTCTCATGAGGTGGCCAAAGTCTTGGAGCCTCAGCTTCAGGATCTGTCCTTCCAGTGAGCACTCAGGGCTGATTTCCTTCAGAATGGAGAGGTCTGATCTTCTTGCAGTCCATGGGACTCTCAAGCGTCTCCTCCAGCACCAGAATTCAAAAGCATCCATTCTTCGGCCATCAGCCTTCTTTATGGTCCAGCTCTCACTTCCATACATCACTACTGGGAAAACCATAGCTTGAACTATAGGGACCTTTGTTGCCAAGGTGGTGTCTCTGCTGCAGTCTGGCTGCACCTTCCTATAAATGCAACCCATGGGTGCTTAGAAGTCTCCCGTTTCGACGCCGCTTCGCGGGAAACGAAAACCTCGCGGCAGAGAGACCAGATGCTTGATCGCACATCCGCCTAAACAGGGAGGGGGGCACGCAGGGGGAAACCGAGGCAGAAACAGAGGAATCGAGGCACCGCCAGCAGGTACTTTCTGGGAAAGATTTAATTCTCTCCCGGGGCTGGCAGTAATGGATTCTCCCTCCTTAATGCACCGATGGGCAGGGTTGGCTCCTGGGGAAAGAGCTAGCCTCCAATTCACTCGCGCTCGTTAATGTTCAATTTAGTGGCACTTTAACGCTTGGGGTATGAAAAACGATCAGGGCCGAATCGGCAGGCTTCCCCCCCCGCCCCACCCTTCCTTCTCCGCAGCCCCCACAGCTTCCTCTCCCAAAGACCTCTCCCCTTTCCTGCGGGGAAAATATATATATATATATTTATTTATTGAGAGCCTGCTTTTGCACGCATAAATCGCTCTCCTGCCTTCACCCGAAAGGCAAGAGCAATTAACCAGAGTTTGGCTTCTTTGCAAAACCACGACAACGCGTTTCATTACACGCCCCCTCAAATAAATAATAATAATAATAATAATAATAATAACGTAAAGGTAAAGGGACCCCTGACCAATAAGTCCAGTCACGGCTGACTCTGGGGTTGCGGCGCTCATCTCGCTTTATTGGCTGAGGGAGCCGGCGTACAGCTTCCGGGTCATGTGGCCAGCAGGACTAAGCCGCTTCTGGCGAACCAGAGCAGCGCACGGAAACGCCGTTTACCTTCCCACCGGAGCGGTACCTATTTATCTACTTGCGCCGGTGTGCTTTTGAACTGCTAGGTTGGCAGGAGCAGGGACCGAACAATGGGAGCTCACCCCGTTGCGGGGATTCGAACCGCCAACCTTCTGATCGGCAAGTCCTAGGCTCTATGGTTTAACCCACAGCGCCACCTGCGTCCCAATAAATAAATACTTAGGCTACGGGTAAAATTAATCTGCAGACCAGAAACTGGGATTTGGGCTGCGTTTGTGTGAAGCCACAGCGGAGCGTTGCATTGGCAAATACTGATGTCCACAGCAGGAAGGGAAAAGGGCGGCCTTTTGGGGTAAAAGTCATGTCTGAATATAGCCCCTGCCGCCGCCGGATTAAAAGATAATAATATTGGCGATGTCAGGGCACAAACTCAGGAGTTTCAGTGTACAAAACCAGGTTGTGTTCCCCCATGGAACTATCTGACCACGCTGAGCGGGGCTTGTTTGGAATTTGAACCCAGAACCTCACACTTCCTAAGTAGCAACAACAATTTATTATTTAAACCCTGCCCATCTGGCTGGGTTTCCCCAGCCACCCTGGGTGGCTCCCAACAGAATATTAAAAACAAAATAAAACATCAAACATTAAAAGCGTCCCTAAACAGGGCTGCCTTCAGATGTCTTCTAAAAGTTTGGCAGTTCTTTTTCTCTTTGACATCTGGTGGGAGGGCGTTCCAGAGGATGGGTGCCACCACCGAGAAGGCCCTCTGCCTGGTTCCCAGTAACCTCACTTCTCGCAGGGAGGGAACCACCAGAAGGCCCTCAGAGCTGGACCTCAGTGTCCGGGCAGAACAATGGGGGTGGAGACGCTCCTTCAGGTATACAGGACCAAGGCCATTTAGGGCTTTCAAGGTCAGCACCAACACTTTGAATTGGAGTTTCCGGGCGGGAGTTGATGCTGCTGTGGATTTGCCAAGCGTGCCTTCCTCTTAGCACGTTTCTCCCTTGTGTCCTGAGTTCAAGTGTCTTCAAAGCCCATGACACCTTTGGTAAAGTGTTTCCCAGTTGTCCGTGTTTATACTACATTTTTTTAGATTTGCCTTGAGAAAGTCTTTAAACCTCTTTTGTTGACCACCGGCATTACACTTTCCATTTTTAAGTTGGGAACAGAGTAGTTGCTTTGGAAGATGATAATCAGGCATCCGCAGTCCAGTCGATAATCAGGCCAGTCCAACGAAGTGGATGTTGAAGAATCATTGCTTTGACACAGGTGATCTTTGCTTCTTCCAGTACACTGGCATTAGTTCACCCGTCTTCCCAAGGGATGTGTCAAAATTTTCAGAGACACCGCTGATGGAATCTTCCAAGGAGTTGGAGATGGCGTTTATAAGTGGTCCACGTTTCACAAGCGCGCAGTAAGGTTGGTCCCTGCTCCTGCCAACCTAGCAGTTCGAAAGCACATCAAAGTGCAAGTAGATAAATAGGTACCACTCCAGAGGGAAGGTAAACGGCGTTTCCGTGCGCTGCTCTGGTTTGCCAGAAGCGGCTTAATCATGCTGGCCACATGACCCGGAAGCTGTACACCGGCTCCCTCAGCCATTAAAGCGAGATGAGCGCCGCAACCCCAGAGTCGGCCGTGACTGGACCTAATGGTCAAGGGTCCCTTTACCTTTTAACTGTTCCTAAATGGGACGCGGGTGGCGCTGTGGTCTAAACCACAGAGCCTAGGGCTGGCCGATCAGAAGGCTGGCGGTTCAAATCTCCGCGTAGCTCTGTCCCTGCTCCTGCCCACCTAGCAGTTCGAAAGCACGTCAAAGTGCAAATAAATAGGTACTGCTCCGGCGGGAAGGTAAACGGCATTTCCGTGCGCTGCTCTGGTACACCAGAAGCGGCTTAGTCCTGCTGGCCACATGACCCAGAAGCTGGACGCCGGCTCCCTCGGCCAATCAAGCGAGATGAGCGCCGCAACCCCAGAGTCATCCACGACTGGACCTAATGGTCAGGGGTCCCTTTACCTTTACCTTAGGATGTATGTATCTTTGTTTATTTGTTTTTTTAAAAAAATTGGCAAATTAATTTTAAAAAATTGGAAAAAAAGGAGAAGTTTGTGGGTTGGAGCTGAGCAAGAAGGATCCGTCGGCACGGGCAAGGCGATAACTCCCAAAGCGGCCGTCCGCGCAAAAGCCCGGCTCCTATTTGTCACGCAGGGACTGTCAAGAGCTCAGAGTTATGAGCCCTTGTTAAAAGGTGAGGGTTTGGGGGGACAGCGAGAAGGAGGGGGGGAAACCCCCCCCCGAGGAGCGCAGACAGGCTGCTGGCAGCCGGCCAGCAGCACCTGAAGTCAGCTGTAAATCTTGCCAGAGGAAATGAACAAGGGGGGGGCAGCGGTTGTGGGGTGTGGAGAGAGCAAATTCGACGAGGGAGCGAAATTAAAAAGACGAAGCGTTGTGGGGAGGAGGACAAGTCGGAAAAAAGACCAGATGGAGGGTTCTGCCAGATGGTACTGAGACATGCATGGGCTTCTGCCCAGATCGGACAGCGGGGGTCTTCCCACACACAGACACACACACACACACACCCTCCTCTGGGCAGGCACCAGGTGCCAGGGCAGAGCAAGGTGGTTTAAGAGCAGAGGTAGGCAAACTAAGGCCCGGGGGCCAGATCCGGCCCAATCGCCTTCTAAATCCAGCCCCCGGACGGTCCGGGAATCAGCGTGTTTTTACACGAGTAGAATGTGTCCTTTTATTTAAAATGCATCTCTGGGTTATTTGCAGGGCCTGCCTGGTGTTTTCACATGAGTAATAATAATAATAATAGTTTTTATTTATATCCCGCCCTCCCCAGCCAAGGCCGGGCTCAGGGCGGCTAACAAGCAGTAATAAAAACAAGTTGAATGAATACAACTTAAAAACAAAATTAAAATGCCACATTAAAATATTAAAATGTGTGCTTTTATTTAAAATGCATCTCTGGGTTATTTGTGGGGCATAGGAATTCGTTCATTATTATTTTTTTCTTTTCCAAAATACAGTCCGGCCCCCCACAAGGTCTGAAGGACAGTGGACCGGCCCCCTGCTGAAAAAGTTTGCTGACCCCTGTTTGAGAGTATCGGGGGGACGGGGAGCAGGGTTTGAATCCTAACCCGCTCGGTCCCCCATAGCTGTCCACGTTTCCCTTTTTTAAAGGGAAATTCCCTTATTCCGAATAGGATTCCTCGTAAGAAAAGGGGAAAGTTGACAGCTATGGCTTGGTCCCTTGTGCGCATAGTTGTCAAGCGTCCCTTATTTGGCGGGACAGTCCCTCATCCCAGCGCTGTGTCCCGCTGCTGTCCCTTATGGATAATGTCCCTTAAATTTCCCGGGTTTCAAAGGAAGCAGCTCCTCTCCCTGTTTTTTGGGAGAACAAGGCTGTTTTTTGGATGAAATTGCAAGGGGGGGGGCACAGGTGGGGACGTCACCTGGGGCTCCTTGTAGGTGAACCACAAATGCAACACATTAATGCCTCTGGGAAAGGTCGGAAGAGGAGCGTTGAGAGGCGATTGCTGCCTCTGAACGGTGGAGGGAGAACGCAGCCATTGTTTGTCGCCTCCTCCTCCCAGAATTTGCCTAAGCTTGTTTTGCAGCTATTCTAGGCCATCAAAAGCACAGCAAGGAGGGAGCCAGTCTTAACTTCTCTCGGGAAGTGATGCTGCAATCTGGGGGCAGCCACAGAAAAGGCCCTGCTCTCTCGCACAACACTCGCCATGCTTCTACAGTTGGCAGGCCCAAGAAAATTGTAAACAGCTTTAAAACGCCAGCAGGGGTGGATTTAAAACAAGCAGCCAAATAATAATTTGAATTGAGCGGAAAAGGACAAATAATAAATAGATTTAAATCGGATATGCGGCGGAGACGGCTCAACTGACTAGTAAACTCAGAGGAAACTTAAAGCAAAAATTTGCGGAAAAATGGGATGGTTTTAGAAGATATGTTCAAAAATACAATAATAGTTTTGACTCCATGCTAGCATTCGAGTGATAAAGGAACTAAAAAGAGGTGAACAACAATTAAGGATTTATTATGTTTTCAGAATATATTGGAAAATTTATATAGAAAGGTTTATTGTTTCGTGTACATTCAAATGTAAGATAAAATTTATGCAAAGGGACTTGACAGGAAGTCAAAGTTGAAGAAAAGATTTTGGAAGATAAAAGGGGGAAAAATATTTACTTTCATTATTATCATTTTGTGTGCATGTGTGGGTGTGCGGATGTCTGCACATATGTGTGTTGTTATATGCAATGTTTGGGAGGAAATAAGACGGTAAATAACAAATAACAAACTAAATATTGATGTATGTAATTTTTATTTCTCAATTATATTTAGTGGTAGTATGGCTGTATTGTTTTTTTTTGTAACATAAAATCATTCAATAAAAATTATTTTAAAATAAATAATTAAATAAATGGGATATGCGGCAATATCGGGCATAAGCGACTCCAGAGAGGCGAAGGGGAATGGGTTCGATATTCATATTTGGTAACTTAAATTAGATGCGTAAATTTGTTTGGAAAATGAGAGATAAAATAAGGCCGGGCGCCATTATGCGGTCTGATTCCCAGGAAAACACGGGCGTACGGCAGCCCTAGGAAACAGAGTAGGCCCCATAGCTCTTCCTTGGATATTGATTATTATTGATTACCATCGTCCGTTACATTTGTACACCCCCCTTCAAGTGTCCTCAAGGTTGTGGGGCTCGGAAGCAGACGCCAAAACTTGCTATTCTCAGCAGGGCTCTCTTGCTGTCTAGATTGGAAGATCTTTGGGGCAGAGACCCTGCGTGATTTTGCTTCCCCCTACACACGGAGGGGCCTTATCGGATCAGAGCCAAACACATACATACACAAACACATCTATAAATAAATGTACCTGTTTGTGCATTTCGATGTTCAAACCGTAGGACATTTCGTAGTACTGCAAAACAAAGATTTTTATTTTATTTTTCTTAAGAAAGGGAACAGTTCCTGTGCATATAAGAGTGCGGTAAGTCACAGCTTAAAGGTAAAGGTAAAGGGACCCCTGACCATTAGGTCCAGTCGTGGCCGACTCTGGGGTTGCGGCGCTCATCTTGCTTTACTGGCCGAGGGAGCCGGCGTACAGCTTCCGGGTCATGTGGCCAGCAGGACTAAGCCGCTTCTGGCGAACCAGAGCAGCGCACGGAAACACCGTTTACCTTCCCGCCGGAGCGGTACCTATTTATCTACTTGCACTTTGACGTGCTTTCGAACTGCTAGGTTGGCAGGAGCAGGGACCGAGCAACGGGAGCTCACCCCGTCATTGCGGGGATTCAAACCGCCGGCCTTCTGATCAGCAAGTCCGAGGCTCTGTGGTTTAACCCACAGCGCCACCTGCGCCACGGCTTAGGGACCCTCTTTACACCATCATCCAAGCCTTCCACACCCCCCAAAACCCCACATTTGCCCCTGTACGGCGCTTACCATGACATAATGCCTCTGGATTTCTGTTTTTTCCGTGGCGAGTTTCTCACATTCCAGTTTCAAGCTGCAAAGAGAAGGGAATGGACATGGGAAGATCAAAAATTATATCAAAAATTACTGATCTGGTTATACCAGGGGTCAGCAACCTAAGGCCCATGGCCGGAAGCGGCCACGGAGGCTGTTTAACCGGCCCACGAACTGCCCCCAAACTGAGCCGCCCGCTCAGTGAGTCCCCGTGCACTGCGCTAAACCAGCGCAGCATGGCACGGGGACTCTCTTCTGTGGCTCCAGAAATCGCTTCTGCGCATGCCCAGACGCCAGAAATCGTGTCTGTTCATGTCCGCGGCGGTGGAAATCGCGTCTGCGCATGTCCACGGCGGCGGATATCGCGTCTGCGCATGTCCACGGCACCAGAAATCACTTCTGTGCATGCCCAGACGCCGGAAATCGCTTCTGCACATGCCCAGATGCCAGAAATCATGTCTGCGCATGTCCACGGCACCAGAAATCGTGTCTGCGCATGTCCGTGGTGCCAGAAATCGCTTCTGCGCATGCACAGATGCCGGAAATCGCTTCTGCGCATGCCCAGACGCCGGAAATCGCATCTGCGCATGCCCATAGCCAGAAATCACATCTGCGCATGTCTGCTGCGCCGGAAATTGCTTCTGCGCATGCCCAGACGCCAAAAATCATGTCTGCTCATGTCCACGGCACCGGAAATCGCTTCTGCGCATGCCCAGAAGCTGGAAAACGCATCTGCACATGTCCGCAGTGCCGGAAATCGCTTCTGTGCATGCCCAGGTGCCGGAAATAGCGTCTGCGCAATCGCTTCTGCACAGGTGCGATTTTCAGCGTCTGGGCATGCGCAGACACAATTTCTGGCGTCGTGCTGCGCCGGTCCGGCCCGCGGAGGATCCGACCCCTTGCCGACCCCTGGGTTATACTACAGTGGTACCTCGGGTTAAGTACTTAATTCATTCCGGAGGTCCATACTTAACCTGGAACTGTTCTTAACCTGAAGCGCCACTTTAGCTAATGGGGCCTCCTGTTGCTGCCGTGCCGCCGGAGCACGATTTCTGTTCTCATCCTGAAGCAAAGTTCTTAACCTGAAGCACTATTTCTGGGTTGCAGAATCTGTAACCTGAAGCGTCTGTAACTTGAAGCGTATGAAACCCAAGGTATCATTGTATTAGAATTACATAGATAGGTCATTATGAACCCCACCCACCACAAAAAAGAACCTGGCCGTTTTACCTGTGGTACTGGTTTTGCAAGAACTGGAATTCCTCCTTGATCCGGTCCAAAATCTCTGGGTAAGTCAACTTCAAGGACTGGGGGGCCGTCGAGACGACGCTGGTCGCGGCAGCAGTGACCACGGGCGCTGCCTGCAGGTGACCCTGGGAGAGACAGGTAGCGGAAAGGCCAATCACCACCGACGTCGGACTGTAAGGAAACAGGAGCTCACCGGGTCTTAGGAGTGCTCACAGTGCAGCGTAGACGGAGGGCCCCCCAGAGGACATCCAGACCAACCCCACCAAAACAAGCGGTCGCCCAACCTCAGAGAGAGATTGTCCATTAAGTGCAGTCGTGACGTACTCTGGGGTTGCGGCGCTCATCTCGCTTTATTGGCCAAGGGAGCCAGCGTACAGCTTCCAGGTCATGTGGCCAGCAGGACTAAGCTGCTTCTGGCGAACCAGAGCAGTGCACGGAAACGCCGTTTACCTTCCCGCTGCAGCGATACCTATTTATCTACTTGCATTTTGACGTGCTTTCAAACTGCTAGGTTGGCAGGAGCAGGGACCGAGCAACGGGAGCTCACCCCGTCATTGCGGGGATTCGAACCGCCAACCTTCTGATCGGCAAGTCCTAGGCTCTGTGGTTTAACCCACAGCGCCACCCGCGTCCATTGTTGCCTGATAACCTAGAGCTAAAAATCACAGCGACCTGGGACCTAGCTCTACCCTGCTAGGCAGGAAATGAGAGAATGGGAGGGGGCAGAAACTTTGGGATGCGGCCCCCACCAGATTTAACTCCCCTGGGAAGATGGCCCTCTTGCAGGGAGAAAGTTGATCGCTTGATTGATATAAACCATTCTGTGGTTTTATTGCAAATCAATTAAGGAAACATGGTGTTTGCAGCTTCAAGTAGTTTTGTTTACAGATCAAAATATTTCTAAACCAACAACTCCTTTATATATTTATATATATGTAACGATATGGATATTGATATCAATATAAACAGCAGCGTACAACAAAATAAAATAAAAGATCATAAAACACAGAACCAGTGACCGATACTTGTTTATTTATATCTTGGGGGGGGGGGGCAGAAATATATAGATAGATCTCTTTTCGCTCTGTTGTTTTATTACCGAAAAAATCTGAATATCCCTGGTTTGATCACAAACAGGGGAGAGTACTGTCCAAAAAAAGGCCTTTACAAAACCTCTCCTCACTGCACACATACACACAAAAAAACAGTTAACTGCGCAAGTTTGCAGCATGTGAAATTTGTTGGTCGTTAGCATTTTGAAAGGCGAAAATCAGTTCAAAACGGATTGTGTTTAAGACGGGTCGGCGGCTTCCTCCCTTTCCAAAGAATTAAGAAACAGACATTTTCCACAATCGGGGATAAACTCACCGGTGGCCGGTTTTGAGGGAACATCCTTCGAGCAAAACCATAGGAATGTTGTTTCTGCAAAGTCGCTTTCGATTCTGTTTTTCCACTACGAACCAACCCCTGGTCACCTGTTGGGAAGCAAATTTTGAACCGGGAACCGATGGGCTGCACCTGGTCAAGCCTTACTCAAGAGTAGACCCGCTGAAATCCAGGTTTGGCTTAGGCCGCCACCTGCAATGCGCGGTTGAAGCCTGATCGTCCCACTTTAAACAACCCTCAATATTTTTTTTTTAATCTTGGGAACTGTAGTTTGCTCAGGGTGCTGAAAGTTATTAAGAGACACACACCCCCATTACTCCTCATAGCGCTACAGTTCCCAAAGCGATTTAATAGTCCGCCCCTCTTCCCAGGTAACGGGGGACTTACCTGGTCACCTATGGCGAACAAGAATGGACCGCAAGCGATCACACAGTACAGCTGTTTTTTGTGGTTTTTTGTTGTTGTGAATTTGCAGGTGCAAAGGGAGAAATTATAATTAAAAAGTAGAAATTAAGACTGCCATTGGCTGGTAGTGATTAAATCAGGCTAGGAACTTTCGGAGATGTGTAGACTGAGCATGAGTAGGCAAACTAAGTCCCGGGGGCCCGATCCGGCTCAATCGTCTTCCAAATCCGGCCCACGGACGGTCCGGGAACCAGCGCGTTTTTACATGAGTAGAATGTGTCCTTTTATTTAAAATGTATCTCTGGGTTATTTGTGGGGCCTGCCTGGTGTTTTTACATGAGTGGAACGTGTGCTTTTATTTAAAATGCACCTCTGGGCTTTTTGTGGGGCATAGGAATTCATTCATTATTATTTTTTTCCCCAAAATATAGTTCGGCCCCCCACAAGGTCTGAGGGACAGCGGACCAGCCCCCTGCTGAAAAAGTTTGCTGACCCCTGCTGTACAGCATGTTTCATCCAGAACTCCTGGTTTGTCACAGGGGCATTTATGCTCAAGTTGCGCATAGAATCGCAGCCTTAATTACCACTTTATATAAGAGCATGTCAAACGCACTGCCTTGCTCTTATCCTACAAGTGCCACCCTTGCGGGGTAAGGTAAAGGGACCCCTGACCATTAGGTCCAGTCGTGGCCGACTCTGGGGTTGCGGCGCTCATCTCGCTTTATTGGCCGAGGAAGCCGGCGTACAGCTTCTGGGTCATGTGGCCAGCATGACTAAGCCGCTTCTGGCGAACCAGAGCAGCGCACGGAAATGGCATTTACCTTCCCGCCAGAGCGGTACCTATTTATCTACTTGGCACTTTGACGTGCTTTCGAACTGCTAGGTTGGCAGGAGCAGGGACCGAGCAATGGGAGCTCACCCCGTCACAGGGATTCGAACCGCCGACCTTCTGATCAGCAAGTCCTAGGCTCTGTGATTTAACCCACAACGCCACCCACGTCCTGCATTATTAACCCCATACTGAGCGAATGCACCTTGCAAGGCGCACTAATTTCTCCTCGTGTCCTTGTGGGGGGGTTTTCTCTGCAGAAAAGGGGTGGGGGCTGAATCAGGGCTCCAATCCCATAATTTTTTCTCTCCGTGCATAAAAAAAACCCCCCTACACTTCAGTTAAAATATTTTAATACAACAAGAGCGCCTCTGGGCATGTAAAGTGTATCTTTTCTCAAGCCTGGGGGGGCCAGATCAGCGAGGCAGACTTCATGCAGATTAAATTGGTCATTTGGGGAAGGGTCTTACAAGCCCGCATTTTGGGACAGGTGGCAGACTTCCACCCCAAATCCTGCAATCTTATTGTTCCCTTCAGTGGCGCCAACAGCACCCACCAAATCGCAGATCCAAAGCAGGCCAATTCCACTTGCGTTGGTTAGCGCATGGTGCTGATGTTGCCAAGTAATAATAATAAATAATAAATAATAAATAATAATAATAATAATAATTCTGACAAGACAGAAGTACTGTTTTGGGGGGACAGGGGGCGGGCTGGTGTGGAGGACTCCCTGGTCCTGAATGGGGTAACTGTGCCCCTGAAGGACAAGGTGCGCACCCTGGGAGTCATTTTGGACCCACAGCTGTCCATGGAGGTGCAGGTCCATTCTGTATCCAGGGCAGCTGTTTATCAGCTCCATCTGGTATGCAGGATAAGACCCTACCTGCCTGCGGACTGTCTCTCCAGAGTGGTCCATGCTCTGGTTATCTCCCGCTTGGACTACTGCCATGCGCTCTGCGTGGGGCTGCCTTTGAAGGTGACCTGGAAACTACAACTAATCCAGAATGCGGCAGCTAGACTGGTGACTGGGAGCGGCTGCCGAGACCACATAACACCGGTCTTGAAAGACCTACATTGGCTTCCAGTATGTTTCCGAGCACAATTCAAAGTGTTGGTGCTGACCTTTGAAGCCCTAAAAGGCCTTGGTCCAGTAGACCTGAAGGAGCGTCTCCACCCCCATCATCCAGCCCGGACACTGAGGTCCAGCTCCGAGGGCCTTCTGGCGGTTCCCCCATTGCGAGAAGCCAAGTTACAGGGCACCAGGCAGAGGGCCTTCTCAGTGGTGGCGCCCGCCCTGTGGAACGCCCTCCCACCAGATGTCAAAGAGAAAAATAACTACCTGACATTCAGAAGACATCTTAAGGCAGCCCTGTTCAGGGAAGTTTTTAGTGTGTGACATTTTAGTGTATTTTTGGTCTCTGTGGAAGCTGCCCAGAGTGGCTGGGGAAACCCAGCCAGATGGGCGGGGCACAAATAAATTATTATTATTAATATTAATTAATTAATTGATTGATTGATTGATTGATTGATTAAACCCCGCCCACTCTGGGCGGCTCCCAACATTATCCAGTTTCAAACCATGGGCAGCCCACAAGGGGAGAAAGCCACCGTTGCTGGTTGTTTTCCCTCTCTTGCCACCAGATGGTATATAAAGATAGACTGCCCCTGCAGGTGGGTGTTCTACTTAAGAGGGAAATCGTCTCTGCTGGAGCATGCTCAGTGTGGAATATTATTTTCGTTACCCCTGCACAGCGGTGCCTGGGGCTGACAGAGAGGAAGGAGGAGAGTATTTTTGCTGGCGGGCTTTTTTAGCAAAAACCGGGAAAGGTTTGCATTCCCGACGCAGATAAGAAGCGGCTCTTATGAATGGGTTAAAAGAGAGCCAATGACTGAGAAATGACCTCACTCCCTAGTAAACAGGGTGCAGGATTGCATCCAGACCGAAGCCAAAACCACACAGTAGGTGTTTGAATTCCTGGTTTTGGGGGGGGATTCGAACTCAGGACTGGCAGCTCAGCTGGAAGAGGGTTGCCTCAGAAAAAGGACTTAGGGTACAGAGAGTCGGGTCCTTGGTCCATATAGCACCATACTGCCTATTCTGGCTTGCAGGGACGCCTCAGGGAACTGAATCTGGGAGCCCCTGTCTCCAGAGCACTGAAACCACGGTCCTTCTCCTAAAGATCATGTAAGATTCCAGTCCTCATTGTTGAAAAAGAGAGGCCAATGTAATATAAAAACACAACAAACATTAAAAATTTCCCTCAACTAGGCTGCCTTCAGATGTCTTCTAAGAGTCAGGTAGTTGTTTGTTTCCTTGACATCTGATGGGAGGGCGTTCCACAGGGTGGGCGCCACCACCAAGAAGGCTCTGCCTGGTTCCCTGTAACTTATCGCAGGGAGGGAACCGCCAGAAGGCCCTCGGAGCTGGACCTCAGTGTCCGGGCAGAATGATGGGGGTGGAGACGCTCCTTCAGGTATACTGGGCTGAGGCTGTTTAGGGCTTTAAAGGTCAGCACCAACACTTTGAATTGCGCTCGGAAACATACTGGCAGCCAATGAATATCTTTCAGGACCAGTGTTCTATGGTCCCGGTGGCAGCTCCCAGTCACCAGTCTAGCTGCCACATTCTGGATTAGTTGCAGTTTCCGGGTCACCTTCAAAGGCAGCCCCACGGTGAGCGCATTGCAGTAGTCCAAGCGGGAGATAACCAGAGCATGCACCACTCTGGGCAGACAGTCTGCGGGCAGGTAGGGTCTCATCCTGCGTAACAGGTAGATCTGGTAGACAGCCGCCCTGGACGCAGAATTGCAACCTCACCGGACCCTGCTTGGCTTTGCAAGGAGTGGGGATTGCGGGGAAGGACCATAAAAGGAAAGGGTTGATCAGGCCCTGTATTGGGAGAAATGGGGCACCCAGAGAGGAAGGGACGCTTTGGGGCACTGGATTTTGTTGTCAATCCCTTACAACTTAGATCAGCATACCTGGAGTCCCTGGGCATCTTCGAATCCACTTGGGATTTTGGGGGGAATTTGTGGTCAGGCAAAGACTTGGGGCCCCTCTGTAAAGCAACCCCATTACATTCCCAACCAACCAGTAGGGTTGTCTGGTGCCCAGTTGGGACAGTCCCACTGGCCCTAATGTACGCCCAGATATAAGGTAAAGGGACCCCTGACCATTAGGTCCAGTCGTGGACGACTCTGGGGTTGTGGCGCTCATCTCGCTTTACTGGCCGAGGGAGCCAGCGTACAGCTTCCGGGTCATGTGGCCAGCAGGACTAAGCCACTTCTGGCGAACCAGAGCAGCGCACGGAAACGCCATTTACCTTCCCGCCAGAGTGGTACCTATTTATCTACTTGCACTTTGATGTGCTTTCGAACTGCTAGGTTGGCAGGAGCAGGGACCGAGCAACGGGAGCTCACCCCGTCATTGCGGGGATTCGAACCGCTGACCTTCTGATCGGCAAGCCCTAGGCTCTGTGGTTTAACCCACAGCACCATCCACGTCCCAGATATATACACCCCCAATAGCAACCCTGATTTGCACGTTTGCTGTGTTTTTTATTCCCAATAAGTCTTTTCCGAATGGAGGCAGGAATATGCAGAATTCTGTCCCTTACGGGGAATCGAACCCACAACCTTGGCGTTTATCAGCATCCAGCTCTCACCAACTGAGCTATCTTTCCTTGCGGTTCACGCGCTAAATGACTCTTGGGGGGCCCCCTTTCCCACTCAAAAATAGGATCAGATCTCCAAACAGGGAAAATGCCCTTTTTGACACTTGCTTCCCTCTAACAGCGTGGGGGATAGGAATGCACTTTGCGCATGCTCAAGGGCAAGCAATGGGAATGCACTTTGCACATGCTCAAGGGCAAGTGATGGGAATGCACTTTGCACATGCTCAAGGGCAGCCTCTTAATTCCTTCGGCTTGGGAGGGGGCAGCAAGGAAGGAAGGAGGTTAAGCAAAAGTTTAAAACCCTGGGTAGCAGTTGGCAGTGGTTGGTTTGGGGGGGGTGGCTCCCAAGAAAAAATGAGCGCTCCCCCCCACAACTAGGTGGTCCTCACCCTCAGGGAAATACAGGTGACTTGGCAGGTGTGGGGGCAGAGAAGAGGGGGAAATCAAATAGACGCAAATGGGTATTTTTTTTTGGGGGGGGGAGGCAGAAAGCAGCATAAAACCCTAGGAAAGGACAATTAGACCACAACCAGGGAGAAAACTTCTCCCCCCCTCAACAACCCCCCCCAATGCTCTGCTTAAAGTAACCCCCTCCATCAAGTTCTCCCCACCTCACCAAATGCCCGTTTTGAGTCTCTCTCTTTTTAACTGCCCAAGAAACTCTCATTAGCCCCCCCCCCAAATAAAAGAAAAAGAAGAATAGATCCCATTTCCTCCTCTGGCGGCTTGCAGCCCTCCCTCTCACCGCGCCCCCCACCCTCGCCAAAATTCCACCCGCCCCCCCCCCCACCCACCCCGTCCTCATTTATGATCTCCCAGGCCGAACAAAAGGGTCTCCTTCTTTTTCTAGCAGGTAGGAAGAGAGAAGGGGGGGGGTGGGAATCAGACATGAGGAAAAGGCCCCTCCCGCCTTCTTCCCCTCGGCTAACGCCCCCCCCCATCAAACCTCAGCCCCCCCCCTCCGATAAAGGCACTCACCAAACCACTGCAAGCCAGGATCGGGCCCCCAGGAGCCTAGAAAGGTGGGTGGGTGGGACGCAGGCCCGTTGCCTTGAATGGGTGTGAGAAACCCCCCCTCTCCCCCCTCTCCCTCCTCTCTCTCTCTCTTCCTCTCTCTCTTCCTCCCCCCCCCCGCCACCCCCCACACAGCAGCCTTGCGGGGGAGGGCGATCAATGAACGAGCGCCAAGCTCCACGTGGGGTCTGGCTGCTTCTCTTTCGCTACAGTCCGGCGCGCCGCAGCCAATCGGGAGGCAAGGGTGGGGGGGGAAAGCGCTCGGTCCCCACGTGGGGTGGGGAGAGGGGGCTTGCCATTGGTCCGAAGCGGCCGCCCGTAGAAAATGTGTCAATCTGGAAGGACGCGGGGTAGCCAAGAGGCGGGGGAGGAGGGGGGAGTGTGGAGAGAGAAAGAGATTTTTTTTTGGTTAACCCTTTCGGGGGACTCGGAGCGACGGGAGAGGAGAAAATTGGATTAACCCATAAAAGGCTGGAGGGGAAAAAGGTGGGAATGGGTTTTAACCCTTCAAAGGGCCAGAGGAGGAGGAGAGGGAGATTTTTTTCCCCTTAAGGGGTAACAGGGGAGAAGGAGTTTTAACCCTTTAAAGGGGCAGAGGGTGTTGCTTAACCCTTAAAGGGCCAGCGAGGGAGAAGGAGTTTTAACCCTTTAAAGGGGCAGAGGGTGTCGCTTAACCCTTAAAGGGCCAGGAGGGAGAAGGAGTTTTAACCCTTTAAAGGGGCAGAGGGTGTTGCTTAACCCTTAAAGGGCCAGCGAGGGAGAAGGAGTTTTAACCCTTTAAAGGGGCAGAGGGTGTTGCTTAACCCTTAAAGGGCTAGCGAGGGAGAAGGAGTTTTAACCCTTTAAAGGGGCAGAGGGGTCGCTTAACCCTTAAAGGGCCAGCGAGGGAGAAGGAGTTTTAACCCTTAAAAGGGCCAGAGGGTGTCGCTTAACCCTTAAAGGGCCAGTGAGGGAGAATGAGTTTTAACCCTTAAAAGGGCCAAAGGGTGTCGCTTAACCCTTAAAGGGCTAGTGAGGGAGAAGGAGTTTTAACCCTTAAAAGGGCCAAAGGGTGTCGCTTAACCCTTAAAGGGCTAGCGAGGGAGAAGGAGTTTTAACCCTTAAAAGGGCCAGAGGGTGTCGCTTAACCCTTAAAGGGCTAGCGAGGGAGAAGGCGTTTTAACCCTTAAAAGGGCCAGAGGGTGTCGCTTAACCCTTAAAGGGCTAGCGAGGGAGAATGAGTTTTAACCCTTAAAAGGGCCAGAGGGTGTCGCTTAACCCTTAAAGGGCTAGTGAGGGAGAAGGAGTTTTAACCCTTAAAAGGGCCAGAGGGTGTCGCTTAACCCTTAAAGGGCTAGCGAGGGAGAATGAGTTTTAACCCTTAAAAGGGCCAGAGGGTGTCGCTGAACCCTTAAAGGGCTAGTGAGGGAGAAGGAGTTTTAACCCTTAAAAGGGCCAGAGGGTGTTGCTTAACCCTTAAAGGGCTGGCGAGGGAGAATGAGTTTTAACCCTTAAAAAGGCCAGAGGGTGTCGCTTAACCCTTAAAGGGCCAGTGAGGGAGAATGAGTTTTAACCCTTAAAAGGGCCAGAGGGTGTCGTTTAACCCTTAAAGGGCCAGTGAGGGAGAATGAGTTTTAACCCTTAAAAGGGCCAGAGGGTGTCGCTTAACCCTTAAAGGGCCAGTGAGGGAGAATGAGTTTTAACCCTTAAAAGGGCCAAAGGGTGTCGCTTAACCCTTAAAGGTCTTGAGCAGGAGAAGAGGGGAGAATTGGTTTAACCCTTAAAAGCTTGGACAGAAATGGGCGGGGGGATTGGTTCAACACAATTGCGTTACCCTTTAAAAAGGCGGTGTTGTGTTGCTTAACCCTCAAACGACCTAGAAGGAGGAGGGAGAAAATTAACCCTTAAAAGTGTCAGAGAAGACAGGAGAGGGGTCGCTTAACCCTTCAAGGCCCGGAGGGGGGAGGGAATTAGTTCAACTATTATTATTATTATTATTATTATTATTAGAGCCTGATGAGAAGAGGGTGTTGTTTAACCCTTGAAGGACTGGAGGGGTGGGTTGATTTTCATGTGTTTGCAAACTGGGTTAACCCTTGACAGGACGAGAGCGGTACAATTAGTCTTTTAAAAAACAACACCCACCACGTATTAAGAAATTTCAGAAGGAATTTGGATTAAGGTCTGAACTGGGGGGGGGCGGGTTGGATTAACCCTTGCAGCTCTGGAGCGCTGGCAGAATGGTAATGGACTTAGTCCTTTAAAACCTTGCAGTGCTAAGGGGGGGGATATCAGTGGGGGGTGGGTGGGAAATTGGTTGAACCTTCAAAGGTCTGGGTGGGGGCGGGGGGCGGAATAATCCTTTAAAGGTCTGGAGAGCCGGGAGAGGAGAGATTAACCTTAACCGTTAAAGGACTGGGAGGGAGGGAAAAGGCTAACCCTCAAAAGGATTACCGCTCTGAAGAAGGGGGGGGCGCTATGTTGTTAACCCTTTAAAGGAAGTGAAGGGAGAGGGAGGGGAGGTTGTGATTAGGCACCTCCTCCCCCCTCCGCGTGCCTTTAAAACGACTCCAGCCAAAGGCAAGAATTCAACAGGTAGAACTCTCTGCCGTTTCAAGCGTTGTTGTCGCAGGAAACGCCTCGCCTGTTGAAGTCGCGCCTGGTTTTTGCAGGTCGTCATAGGGAGATTCAAGTAGAGACATCACCTTGCCAACAAAGGTCCGTATAGTTCAAGCTATGGTTTCCCCAGTAGTGATGTATGGAAGTGAGAGCTGGACCATAAAGAAGGCTGATCGCCGAAGAATGGATGCTTTTGAATTCTGGTGCTGGAGGAGACTCTTGAGAGTCCCATGGACTGCAAGAAGATCAAACCTCTCCATTCGGAAGGAAATCAGCCCTGAGTGCTCACTGGAAGGACAGATCCTGAAGCTGAGGCTCCAAGACTTTGGCCACCTCAAGAGAAGAGAAAACTCCCTGGAAAAGACCCTGATGCTGGGAAAGATGGAGGGCACAAGGAGAAGGGGACGGCAGAGGACGAGATGGTGGGACAGTGTTTTTGAAGCTACCAGCATGAGTCTGACCAAACTGTGGGAGGCAGTGGAAGACAGGAGGGCCTGGCGTGCTCTGGTCCAGGGGGTCACGAAGAGGCGGACACGACTAAACAACAACAACATAGGGAGATTCAACATAAGGAAGAGCATAAGGACAGTTGCTGTGGCTCATTATGGGACATATTGTTTTACCTCCATAACTTTACTGCTGGTTGTTTCACAGACCAATTTAATAATAATAATAATATTTTTTTATTTATACCCCGCCCTCCCCAGCCAAGACCGGGCTCAGGGCTGCTAACAACCAATAAGAAAAACAAGTTGATTAAAATACAATTTAAAAGATTAAAATACAATATTAAAACATGAGGATGCAGCCTCTTCACAGGAGGAGAAAGGAAAAAGAAAGAGGGGGAGGGAATCCAACTGATTTAAGTAGCAAGATCTCTGCCCCGTCAGAATCCATATGAGGGCAGCGGAATAAAAACAGAGGGGGAAATTCACACCATTCCTCACCTTTCATAGGAACGGAGAAAGCTGCTTTGTGGTGAGCCAGAGCCTTGGTCTATCTTCCTCAATACTGCCTACACTGGGCGGCAGCAACCATTCAAGGTTTCCCCACGCTCTCAGACCTTCTTGTGGCCTTCCTGGGGACATCCGATTGGCTGAACCACATGCTAGTCTAGACAGGCCATTGGTCTGGTTGTCGTTGTTGTTTAGTCGTGTCCGACTCTTCGTGACCCCCTGGACCAGAGCACACCAGGCCCTCCTGTCTTCCACTGACTCCCGCAGTTTGGTCAAACTCATGCTGGCAGCTTGGAGAACACTGTCCCACCATCTCGTCCTCTGTCATCCCCTTCTCCTTGTGCCCTCCATCTTTCCCAACATCAGGGTCTTTTCCAGGGAGTCTTCTCTTCTCATGAGGTGGCCAAAGTCTTGGAGCCTCAGCTTCAGGATCTGTCCTTCCAGTGAGCACTCAGGGCTGATTTCCTTCAGAATGGAGAGGTTTGATCTTCTTGCAGTCCATGGGACTCTCAAGAGTCTCCTCCAACACCAGAATTCAAAAGCATCCATTCTTTGGCGATCAGCCTTCTTTATGGTCCAGCTCTCACTTCCATACATCACTATTGGGAAAACCATAGCTTGAACTATAGGGACCTTTGTTGGCAAGGTGATGTCTCTGCTTTTTAAGACGACAGCATTACATTTCTATGCATATAGGAAGATATCTATTTTGCCACCAAGGGGAGGTAATAATGGCACTCCTGCCGATGACAGCCATTACAATGAATGGGGAGGGTGCCCGACTGTAGTGAACGGAGCACTGCCCCACCAGTCTCGGCAGCAAAGTAAAACATGGAAATATAGGCTGTAAAAGCTTTAAAAGATGCTCTTTCGCGTGAGTTCCCTTAAAAAGATTCTTTCCAAAGTTTCCGTCTTCCGCCACACGTTTGGTAAGTTAAAAAATGGTTTGCTCGCCAACTTTCCAAAGGTCAGACCCCTGTGCTTCAGAAAGTTGCACAGGCAGTAAGACCTAGTTCGGTTCCAAAGTGGTGAAAGTTCCTAAATTGTTGGTATTGGAACTCAAGAATGGCTTGTGAAAGCCATGCGGCCGAGCTGAAGCGACCAGCTCAAACTTTTTCACATGCTGAGCATAGCTGTCAACTTACAGATTTGACAATAAGGGACCAGCAGCCTCGAAAATAAGGGACCAGCAGCCTCAAAAATAAGGGGCCAGCAGCCAAAATAAGGGATTTTCCAAGCACAGGTATGTTCAACTTCTGAGCCCCTCCGAGCCAAAGGCAGAAAGCCCAGCCAGCAGCCAAACGAAGCCTCAAGCAGTGGTTCCCACAGCGCAGCAACCAGGCAAAGGGGATGCAGCAAGGAAAACCACCGTTACCTCTCCGCTGGGAAGCGCTGAGCAAGGGCGTTTCCCCAGGCAAGGCAGCCGATTTGATCGGCACAAGGCATGCAAGCTCCACCCCCTAGTCGTTCTTAGACTCCTTATTGGGTGAGCAACGCAGCCAAGCAACACAGTTGGAGCCTCCCTCCTCCCTGGCCGGCAGGGAGGGAGGGAAAGGAGCTGCTTCCTTTGAAACCCGGGAAATTTAAGGGACATCATCAATAAGGGACAGCAGCAGGACACGGCGCTGGGATAAGGGACTGTCCCGCCAAATAAGGGACGGTTGACAGCTATGATGCTGAGCTTCTCCAGTAGACTGGGGGTGGGTGGGTGAACAATCGGCTTGCTTACCCATTTCCTCCCAGGGTGAGGGGAAGTGACCTAGGCTAAGCCTGGCAGCACAGCTTACTCTATGGGATTAACCCTTTGCTGTGTTAATTAGATTTAAACACGCTGCTGGTTATCCCACAATATCTCTACGTCTAAGCATACCACGCATGTCCTTCCAGGTGCATTTTTGTGAAGGACGGAGGAAAAAAAACATTGCCACCCCCCCCATTACTTCTAACCCTCCTAAACCCCCAGAACCGCATAGGGAAGCTAGTCGTTTGTCTTCTTCCGCATCAGTTCTAAGCTTCAAGTCCTCAAAGTGTATCCAAGATTTGGTGGCTATGTGTGATGTTGTCGGAGGGGTTTAGGATTTGGTTTTTAAATCAACTCAGTTTAACCGTCCTGATCTTTTATAACCTGTCCTATTTTATTGATCATAACATTCTTGTCTGCGTTTCTAGGCTAGAAGCTGTTCTGGTGACGCTTTCAAACCATGCTTTTTTTGGGGGGGGGGGCATTAAATTCCAAAAGGAAATGCATCAGAACAAAATCAAACTAACTCCAAAGGAACCCTCCCTCTCCCCCAAATAAATAAATAAAAATAGCTTGGTCTGAATTTTGGTTGGGGAGAATTTGCCGGCGTTCCTGGAAAGTATTATTATAAACGGATTTGCCGCCTGGTTCTGAATACTGGAGAGCCATTATCAGAAAGGGATCTTCTGGTCCGATTTAGTGCTGAGTGGAAGCCCAGGAGATAAATTTTGCTCAGTTGAGGTTACCTGTTCAGGTTACCTGCCAGCCACGCCCATTTTCACGAGACACTATTTCATCCCTCTCTCTCCCATTTTCTTTTTATCCTTACCGATCAACGGCAGTTTATGCACATCAAACATGTTCATTGGTCTTTTGGGGGAGCGGGGAGTCCTTCCCCTCCCATCAGATTCCTTTTTTTAAAATCCCAATTTTCTACTTTTGCAAGCCTTGGGTTTCCCCCTGCCCAAAAAAAAAACACCCTTCCCGTTCTGTAAGGAGCACTGGGATTTGCAAGATCAGAGATGGCTATATCCTTCCATTTCCAGCGTTTGCAAAAGCGAGAGATGGCGGAGAGTCGGTAATCAAATCCCTTCGATTTCTCGTCAAACCTTCCCAGTTGGCAGGTTTAAAACCCAGGGCAGACCTACAATGGAACTGCCTTGCCTCGCCCCCTCCCAGATTTCCCATTTAAATGACAAGACCTCCGTTTTAATTTTAATCCACACACACACACACACACCCTTTTAAAACCAGCTCACACCAAAACTAATCCATGCTCAGGGAAGCAGATTTGAAAAGATTGGTTCTGACACATGGCAGGGAGGGCGGCTGTGCGAGGGGGGAGAGGCTAGACAGATTTTTCCTTATCCCTGGGTGCTGGGGGGGGGGGTTGCTGGCGGGCAGAGAGAAGCTTGCGTGTTTCCCAGTGGAGTCAAGTGCAACAGAGGCCATAGCTGACTTCTAAAGAGGGTGGGAAGAGGGTTGGGAGTTTGGGGGGCGGGCTGCTGTTTTGAGCAAATGCAAAAAAAAACAACCACACAAGACAAGAAGTGACCTACATCTGTTCTCAGAGATGTGGGGAGGAGGGATGTTGTTGGAGGGAGGGGGGTATGATTGCACGGGAGAAAACCCTGCAGGAAAATATCTCTCTCTCTCTCTCTCTCTCTCTATATATATACTCTCTCTATATACATATCTGTTCACTCTCTCTCTCTCTCTTTCTCTCTCTCTCACTTTTGTAGCTCTTCTTCTTCTTCCTCTTCTTCCTCTTCCTCCTCTTCTTCTTCTTCCTCTTCCTCTTCTTCTTCTTGTTCCTCCTCCTCCTCCTCCTCCTCCTCCTCCTCTTCTTCTTCTTCTTCTTCTTCTTCTTCTTCTTCCTCTTCTTCCTCTTCTTCCTCCTCTTCTCCCTCTTCCTCTTCCTCTTCTTTCTCTTCTTCTTCTTTTCTCCTCCTCCTCTTCTGCCTCTTCTTCTTCTTCTTCCTCTTCCTCTTCCTCCTCCTCCTCCTCTTCTTCCTCTTCTTCTTCTTCTTCCTCCTCCTCCCCCCTCCTCCTCTTCCTCTTCTTCCTCCTCTTCTTCCTCCTCTTCTTTGGCGATCCCTCGTAGCCGAGTAAGATTGTCTTCCATAAACACGGTTTTAACATTGAGTCCATAAGTGATTGTGGAGGCCAATTCTGGATCCACACGTCCTTCCACAGTGGGGACATTGGTTTCCGGGCAGGAGTTGATCACGGTGTGGATTTGCCAAGCGTGCCTTCCTCTTAGCATCTTTCTCCCTTGCGTCCTGAGTTCGAGTGTCTTCAAAGCCCACAACATCTTTGGTAAAGGTTCTCCAACTGGAGCACTCGCAGGCCAGTGTTTCCCAGTTGTCGGTGATTATACTACAGTTTTAAAGATCTGCCTTGAGAGAGTCTTTAAACCTCTTTTGTTGACCACCAGCTTTCCATATTTAATGGGAATAGAGTAGTTGCTTTGGAAGACATCAGGCATCCGCACAACATGACCAGTCCAACAAAGTTGATGTTGAAGAATCATTGCTGGTGGTCGTTGCTTCTTCCAGTACACTGGCATTAGTTCGCCTGTCTTCCCAAGTGATGTGTAAAAATTTTCAGAGACACAGTTGATGGAATCTTTCAAGGAGCTGGAGATGGTGTTTATAAGTTGTCCATGTTTCACAAGTATACAGTAAGGTTGGCATTACAGTGGTACCTCAGGTTAAGAACTTAATTCATTCTGGAGGTCCGTTCTTAAGCTGAAATTGTTCTTAACCTGAGGTACCACTTTAGATAATGGGGCCTCCCACTGCCACCGCACGATTTCTGTTCTCATCCTGAAGCAAAGTTCTTAACCCGAGGTACTATTTCTGGGTTAGCGGAGTCTGTAACCTGAAGCGCCTGTAACCTGAAGCACCTGTAACCCGAGGTACCACTGTACAATGTAAACAAGCATTTTGGTTTGCCTGCCAACGTCCCGGTCCCTCAAACATTCTCCTACCAGGGCAGTTATCTTTCCACAAGGGTCGATGACGTGGATGCCAAAATCCAGCATCTCCTGAGATCTGCGAGTACAGCTTTATCCCAGAGTTGTTTGAGGACCAGGACAGAGAAGTCGTTGGAAAGAATCGCAGCAGAGCACGGAGGAGGAAAAACGTCTTCGTGCAGCGCAGAGTTGAACAGTGGAACTCGCTGCCACAAGAATGACGGCCACCGGCTTTGGAAGAAGATTGGACAAATTCGGTGATGGCTCGTCCAACATGCTGGTGGCTTTCCAGAGGGGTTAAACCAGGTACACACGCGCAATAACAGCAGCAAGAATACTCATCACAAAGTATTGGAAGACACAAGAGCTCCCCACACTGGAGGAATGGCAGATGAAACTGATGGACTATATGGAACTGGCGGAAATGACTGGTAGAATCCGTGACCAGGGAGAAGAGTTGGTGGAAGAAGATTGGAAGAAATTTAAAGATTATCTACAGAAACATTGCAAAATTAAAGAATGTTAGAGTGATGATGGATTGAAATTAAGTGGCTTCTAGCTATACAGGCTTTAAAGTTATATATAGATCAAGATTAAGGATTAGGATTAAAAAAGTTAAAGGAAATGGAAATTTGGCTTTTAAGAGGTAAAAATTTTAATGTTATACTATATTAAGATTAAGGATTGGGATTAAAAAAGAGGGAAAGAAATTGCTGGACAAACATAATTGAACTGGAATACAAAAGAGGGAGGTATGAGGAGGTCCAGAAAATAAGTAAATTTAAAAATGGTGATGAAAAGGTGGTATTGTTTTTAACTGTTTTCTTTTTTGTCTTTTGTTTTTTGTGGTGTTTTTTTTTGGATTATGTATTGTGTATTTTTGAACTGTGTATTTTTCTTTTTTCTTTTTAAATTTTTTTTACTGATGTGTTCTTTTTATTGGAAACTCTAATAAATATCATTAAAAAAAATAAAAATAAACCAGGTACACACGGACTCTTTTGCCTTTCAGGTGTTGTTGGATTCCAGTTCCCACCAGCCTCCTCACCCCCACCCTCTTGCAGCCAGCATGCCCAATAGTCACAGGGGTGATGAGAGCCATCTTTCAAGAGCACCCGGGAGCTTCAGCTTGAAATGGGACAAATTATTATTATTATTATTAATTTTACATATATATAATACTTATTTTATTTTATTACTTATTTTATTTACTTACTTATTTTCTTATATATTTTACTTTATATTGTTTTTATATACTTTAGCCATGATTCTCAGGGCGGTTCACAAGATAAAATTACAATGTAAAAAAACACACCACATGATAAAAATAAGAACAACACCAATAATCTCCCCTCCCAAGGGAGGAACCCGAGGTTTGCAAAAGTAGAAAATTGGGATTTAAAAAGAAAAACATGGGAGGGAAGAGGTCTAACAAAACAGCTACAAGGATTTGAGCAGAACCTCCAGCCGCAGGAGCAGTCTACCTCGGAATACCAGCTTTTCAGAGGCAAATGGGGCTGCTGTCAAATTTCTGGGGTTTTTCAGAAGCATTCCGCTGACCGATGGATATAGCCTAGGAGGGTGAAAGAGGAGAGCGCAAAATATGGTTTGAAGCTCAACATCAAAAAACGAAGATCATGGCCACTGGGCCCATCACCTCCTGGCAAATAGAAGGGGAAGAAATGGAGGCAGTGAGAGATTTTACTTTCTTGGGCTCCATGATCACTGCAGATGGTGACAGCAGTCACGAAATTAAAAGATGCCTGCTTCTTGGGAGAAAAGCAATGACAAACCTAGACAGCATCTTAAAAAGCAGAGACATCACCTTGCCAACAAAGGTGCGTATAGTTAAAGCTATGGTTTTCCCAGTAGTGATGCATGGAAGTGAGAGCTGGACCATAAAGAAGGCTGATCACCGAAGAATGGATGCTTTTGAATTCTGGTGCTGGAGGAGACTCTTGAGAGTCCCATGGACTGCAAGAAGATCAGACCTCTCCATTCTGAAGGAAAACAGCCCTGAGTGCTCACTGGAAGGACAGATCCTGAAGCTGAACGCCGGCTCCCTCGGCCAATAAAGTGAGATGAGCGCTGCAACCCCAGAGTCATCCGCGACTGGACCTAATGATCAGAAGTCCCTTTACCTTTTAACTGTTCCTAAATGGGACGCGGGTGGCGCTGTGGTCTCAACCACAGAGCCTAGGGCTTGCTAATCAGAAGGTTGGCGGTTCGAACCCCCACGACGGGGTGAGCTCCCGTTGCTCGGTCCCTGCTCCTGCCAACCTAGCAGTTCGAAAGCACCTCAAAGTGCAAGTAGATCAATAGGTACCGCTCTGGCGGGAAGGTAAACGGCGTTTCCGTGTGCTGCTCTGGTTCGCCAGAAGCGGCTTAGTCCTGCTGGCCACATGACCCGGAAGCTGTACACCGGCTCCCTCGGCCAATAAAGCGAGATGAGCACCGCAACCCCAGAGTCGGCCATGACTGGACCTAATGGTCAGGGGTCCCTTCACCGCTGACACTCCATTCTTTCCGCGTCAATTCCAGATACGCACAAAATTCTCTTTCCCCCAGCAAACAGCGAAAATCTAATTAACACATGTATTTTGCTGATTTTATTTTGCTGCTAGGTTGTAGTGTTTTTTGTTTTTATTTTGGAAAACGCAACCTCCATCTCTCTGCCACGTTCCTTGCAATTTGGACGGTGCTTTTTCTCGTTTGCGATTTTGATTTTACAGTTACAATGTAATTTTTTAAAAAGCAAAACAAAAAAACCCAACAACCCTGGACCCTGGGAGATTTCGGCTACCCAGCCTGGCTGCTGATAGAAAATTGGGAGTCCTAAGTAAAACACACGCTGCCGTTTTACCTGGCCAGATCCTGGCAGGAAGTCCCATTGCACCTGATGGGCCTTACTCCCGAGTAGACACCTACAGGGCTGCCTTGGCAATGCACCTCTTTGATTAGAAATTTGGGCAAAGCTGCCATTTGTGGATATGATCCTGTCTGCGACAATTTCTGGAGACAGATTGGACCTGGGACTTTATTGACCCACCCTCGCCTGCCATCTGACAGGTTCCTGGTTAAGGGACGGGGCTCCAGGGATGAAGAACTTCGCCCCCTCCATCTAAATAGGAGCTGGCACCCTCAATTTGAGTCTTAAGGAGCAAGATGCAGCAGGAATTCTCTCTAGGTAGATAATATTTTCCCCTCATCTGTCTTCTCTTATGGAGCTATTTTAGCAGTGGTCACACTGCCCTCTACAGTCCTTGTTGGGAACAGCGGGTGGTTCCTTGTGCTGTGTTCATATACAGTGGTACCTCGGGTTACAGACGCTTCAGGTTACAGACTCCGCTAACCCAGAAATAGTGCTTCAGGTTAAGAACTTTGCTTCAGGATGAGAACAGAAATCGTGCTCCGGCGGCGCGGCGGTAGCGGGAGGCCCCATTAGCTAAAGTGGTGCTTCGGGTTAAGAACAGTTTCAGGTTAAGAACGGACCTCTGGAATGAATTAAGTACTTAACCAGAGGTACCACTGTACAGTGGTACCTTGGTTTTCAAACTTAATCCGTTCCGGAAGTCCGTTCCAAAACCAAAGCGTTCCAAAACCGAGGCGCGCTTTCCCATAGGAAGTAATGCAAAACGGATTGATCCGTTCCAGGCTTTTAAAAACAACCCCTAAAACAGCAATTGAACATGAATTTCAGTATCGAACGAGACCATTGATCCATAAAATGAAAGCAATAAACACTGTACTGCAGTCACACAACCAATCAATCGGTAGCTGAACTGGGTTCCACACAGTCACAAAAACAAAACGAAAAAGGGCCGCCAAAACAGAAACGCAAAATAAATAGCAAAGACAGACAGACCTCAGTGTAACACTCAAAGCGGAGCATGTTCGGCTTCTATAAAAAGTTCGCAAACTGGAACACTTACTTCCAGGTTTCCAGTGTTTGGGTTCCAAGGCGTTTGAGAACCAAGGTACCACTGTATTTGGGCATTTTCAACACACCATAGGTCTACTAAAAAGGGATAAAGGTAAAGGGACCCCTGACCGTTAGGTCCAGTCATGGCCGACTCTGAGGTTGCGGCGCTCATCTCGCTTTATTGGCCGAGGGAGCCAGCGTACAGCTTCCGGGTCATGTGGCCAGCAGGACTAAGCCGCTTCTGGCGAACCAGAGCAGCGCACGGAAACGCCGTTTACCTTCCCGCCGGAGCGGTACCTATTTATCTACTTGCACTTTGACGTGCTTTCGAACTGCTAGGTTGGCAGGAGCAGGGACCGAGCAACGGGAGCTCACCGTGTCGCGGGGATTCGAACCACCGACCTTCTGATCGGCAAGTCCTAGGCTCTGTGGTTTAACCCACAGCGCCACCCGCGTCCCCCCCCCAAAAGGGATATTTTGTTGTTATTATTACCTCGCAGGGTTGTTGTGGGCAATCAATTGGGGTGGGGGAGAGAAAATCGTGTGCTCCAGCTCCTCAAAGTAAAACGTACGTTTGGAAACACAATACTATATAACATTATATAAATAGTGTACGAGGCATATTTCAGTCTGAGGGCCATATTTCCTCCCAGACAGCCTTCCGGGGGCCGCACCCCGTTGTGTGGGTGGGGCTTGTGGCAAAAGCGGGCGGGGCAATGGATGCAAATTTTAACCCCTGCCAATCAGGCGACATTCCAGCCATGGGAAAGTCACAGGGACACAGCCAGCTCCATCCTTTTACCCAGGCAAGCAAGAGGGGAGGACCCAGGGCAGACAATCACACAAGGTGGGTGTGGCCTGTGGGAGAGGGCGTGGCCTATGGGAGAGGGTGTGGCTTGGGGGAAGTCCCACGGGCCACACAGATAGGCTTAGGCAGCTGCCACTCTGCATCCGGGGCTGAGACTTGGGGGAAAATTGCTGACAATTCGGGCTGACTTGAGAATTTGCATTACGGGGTTGGGCTGGATGACCTTTGGGAGCCCCATTCAACTCAAAAGTTCGTTTCAGCCAAACTTGCCAGATCCCTTATCTGACGAGTGTCTGCACCAATGCCAGGGGTTTAAAATCCCCGCTGCCTGAAACCCACAGGAATTCACGTCCCAGTGCCATTATCCGCCGCTCTTTAGGAATAAGTCGTGACCAAAACATCTCCGTTAATGTAGCGGTTGTTATAAAGCCATCGAGGGGAAATAATGCACGGGTTTTCCCTCCAGGCCACCGGCAAAAGAGCCAGAATCAGCCATTCCTGAAGGGTGATGTGGATCTTT